TATATATAATGGACTCCCTTGGCAGTAAAGCCGTCCTAAACACCATGCAGTCACATGACCTTTTAATGAGGCCCTGCTTTCCCTTACCATCCATATCGGTAACCCCGGCATACCCCCCTCCAATGTACAGCGCATTACAGGGAACATTAGCGCTCCGGCCTGGGCTGAAAGCCGTCTGTGTTCAGTGGCCGGCACGAAGCATCAGGAAGGCGATTTCCAACCAATCACATAAGCGGCGGAGAAGTTCAGAGTTGAAGTTCCATTTACAGAGCTAATTTTTTCCTGCCCGTGTGCCAAATTACGAGAACAAAGTGAAGTTGGGATGTCCGGGTCTGGGAATAGAAAAAGATCCTTTTATATTAATGCTGAACGCCTGACACAGAAATTAAGCATCAAATGTATCATTAAATGCAGCTAGTACGAGTAGCTGAATGTGTCTTTGTGTTGGCTTCCTATAACCCAATGGAGTGCAAGACTGGGAGAGGAAAGGGGAACCCTCCCGGCCAATGTTATTGCATTGTGCTGTCAGCCTTAAGCACCAGAATGACCTCATGGGGACACTGACTATCCAATCAGCAAACTAGGGGCGGCCTAGTGTATTGTTCAGCTTTATTTCAGAAAAAATATTCTCTCCCACGCCTCTCTATCTGTTTGTCCCTATCTTCCATCTCCTTCTCTCTCCCTCCCTATCCCCCCTCTCTCTCTAACTCTCTCTCCCTTCCCCACTCTCTCTATCCCCCCCTCTCTTTCTATGATCCATCTATCTATCTATCATTTAAGGGTTAACTACTTCTAAATGGATGCCACCACTGCAGCTTTCCTCATCAGAACACTGAGATTTGTTCAGGTGATTATAATGAAAACCGACCATCCCCTTCAGGAATCAGTCTGGAAACGATTCAGTGAGATAAACAGTTAATTCTTCAGAGCAGAAGCAGGTAGAAATCTGCAACAACGTTTGTCCTCATCCTTGCAATGTGCACAGATCACACGGAGGGGGTTGTTTTTTTACACTTTCGGTCCCGGATTCTTGCCCCATCTGTGTCATGGCCAGTGGTCTATATGGAGGTGATCTTATAGTGCGTATAAGGGGAGCTCGGGGATATAATTCCAGGATAAAGCGGGCAGGTCTCTCTGTTTAGCCCACGTCGTAGTAGACTGTTTTGTGCGGTTAAATAATGAAGCATGTATTCACTTTGCCCTTCAAGGTTTGGCAGCTGCCGGGGCTCGAAGTTTGATAGGTCCAGGTAAATATTTAAACAAACCATAATGTGTGTTTCCAAAGCCAGTAACAAGTTTCCACGAGTGCCGAGGAGGTGAGCGTCACAGGCTCAGAGCCTTTATCTGCTGCCCCCGTGTTTACTTCCCTTTCTCTGAGGCTTCTACCAGTTCTCCGGGCTGACCCCATTCTTTCTCCTCTCACCATGAGGTGGATCCATCTTCTACTGCTCGGCCTTCTCTCCTTCTGCCATGTCAGAGCCGACGGCTCCCAAAACGCCTCCTCCGCCGAATCCTCGGAGACTTCCAGCGAGGAGAAGAGCGATGACGTCCTAGAAGAGGACAACGTGCTGGTCCTCAACACCAAGAACTTCGACAACGCTCTGCAGACTTACAAGTATCTTTTGGTTGAATTTTGTAAGTATCACAAAGTCATTTTCCTTGATCATTTTTGGCTGAATTTTTTATGCATCAAAAAATGTGTTTTCGTTATTAAATGTTTGGTTGAATCTTGTAAGTATTAGGAAATAATTTTTCAGAATAAATTTTTGTTTGAATTTTTTAAGTATCAGGAAATCATTTTCTGTATGTACCAAATGTATCAAAAAATCGGTTTCCATAATCATTTGTTTGGGTGTAATTTTGTAAGTATCAAGAAATAATTTTTTTCAGAAATCATTTTTGTTTGCATTTCTTTAAGTATCAGGAAATTATTTTCTGTAATAATTTTGTGGCTGAATTTTGTAAGTATCAGGAAATAGTTTTCTGTAATTAATGTTTGCCTGAATTTTGCAAGTATCAGGAGATCATTTTTTATAATACTTTTTTTAAGTATCAGGATAATAATTTTTTGGTTGTATTTTCTAAGTATCCCCAAAAAATGTTTTTGCGCCACTGACATAATTTTCATAATCTGTGTTGCCTTACCAAATTCCAGAATTATTGACCCTGGAGGAGTCGGGCACAACAGCTTTTTTTCCTTGGATGTGATTGATTCTTTTTTTTTTTTGCAAAGTGATTATTTCCCTTTGTTTCACCTCATTTACTAAAATAAATGAAAATGTAATATTGTTCTATTCCTTTAGTATTTCAGCTTTAAAGCGACCTTCACCATCCGCACCCACTTTTCCTAAATGCCCTCATACCCCCCC